GGATCCAATATTTTTCCACAGAGGGTACACCACAACTCAACTCAATCTGAGTTGTATGTTTACCCCCTGCACCACTCCCCCAGGTCTGCCACTGGTATTCAACTTACATTGAGTACCATGCTATATTACTGAACGCTGCACCCTTGATAYCCCATATTCCATTTCATATGTACAGTAATGTATGTAGATGGTAATATTTTATYTTTGTTATTAGGCCCCGTGCTCTTGCTGTTGCAGAACGGTTGTGGAGTAGCAAAACGACTACAGACTTGGCTGATGCAACTAACAGGATTTGGGAGCACCGATGCCGTTACCTGAGGTAACACCATTGATCTTACATGTTGATCTTACATCTTACACGATTGCAGGGCTCTAAGTAGCGGCCTGCCAATAGCCAAATAACAGGAAAATTTCAAGTTTGGCAGGCGAAAATAAGGATGCACTGCTAAATGAATAATATAATGGCGTGCGAAATTCACTGGAATAACCCCCTTTTACCATGCTCCTTTACCATGGCAGGCTAAAAAAGCTTTCTATTTCGAATTTCTGGATTGGTAGCTAAACAAATGAAAATCCAACCAAAGCTTTGATATAGTAGGTCAAGATGCAATACTTTTCACCACAATGATATATGTATATCATTTGTTGTTACAGGAGAGGGATACCAGCYGAAAATGCTGTCCAATCCAAATACTGCAGGCATGAGTGGCCAGTGGATGAAAAATAAATACGATACCATTGAAAACCATCCTGAAGTATATTCAGTGTTGATCAACCAAAAGTCCAGTCTCTAGATAACAGGGTGTGATATTTTCCCATTTCAGACCATGTGTCATTCCCTATAGTATCATTTCTTTGTTTAACAGTCACAGGTAGGTAGGTAGGTAGGTAAAACTTTATTTAAACACGCTTGCCCCGTCAACTAAAGCTGATTTCCACAAGGGGCGTGTGGATAAATATGTGAAGACATGTGAATATGTGAATACAAGTTTTAAACGAAGAAACTTATTTTAAAGGGAATGAGATTGTTCTGAAATGGAAGAAAAATCACAATCAAATTATTGTCAATTTTTTTTCCCGCAAGTGCTGTTCATAAAATGGCTTCAAGTTAATACCACACTTGATGTTCTAACTCATAGGTGTATAATTGTATATCGAGTCCAACCTCAACTTGGTAAAAATGTTTTGTGATCTAATATCACGAAAAGATGGAAAGAYGGATAATAACTATCAGTAACTAGTTGGGAGTGTGTGGATGTATTAAACACAACAGATGAATAAGAAAGAAAATCAAACAGTGTAAAACGTATACAAACGTTTTTCTTTGGTGTTTAAGTTTCTTTCTTATACCCTTGAAGACGGAAAGGATGATCTTGACTTGTAAAAGTTAAGATAATAAAATGCAAGCACTATTGTAGGGTAGAAAAAGTGATTTGCTTCCACACATTAACCTTTACTGTAAAGAGACACTCAAAGTGTTATCGAATGAATTAATCTTTCTCATTGAACTAAAATGAAAAGAAAAAATATAATGCCTTTAACTATATGTTGTATCATGTATGTATTTCTGTATCTTTGTAAAGTGTACTTGTACTTGTAAAGTTTAGAATAAAAAAATAAATCAATAAAAATCGAAGAGGTAAATCTTGAGCTTGAGTATGGGAGTTTGAAAAAAAATTTGCCCAACTAAAAAACAATTGTAAAATGGCAATATGAAAACGTGAAAATGAAGAGTCGTAGCCAGTATAAGATAAGAGCATTTTATTAGATTCTCATTTCATTTTTCTGTAACATTTTCCATCTCTTAACACAATTGAAAAGGACTTTTTCTCAAAGCTGCTCACCAAGGGAGATCTAGCATTTGTTTTCACAGGGTGCACACAGAGGTATTCTCTAATTTTTTGCAAGAATATTTCAAGGAGTTTTACAATGTTTTCCATAATAGCAAAAACTACTTTCATATCAGGAAATGGTCCATTGAGTAGAAATGCTCAGGAAAATGATAAAATATTGCATTCATGTCGCTTGAGCACATGTACTACGGATCTCACCGAACTGTGGCGACACGTCAAAAATTTGTCTCGCTACCACACCCTGTCTACTGTCACACCTACTTTTGTTACATGTATTACAGTGAATACCTTACTGGTAATGCGCTAGATCTGAGACAGTGACAAAAGTAGGCATGTCAGTGGACAAATTAGGGAGTGGTAGCGAGACAAATGTTTGACATGTTGCCACAGTTCCGTGAGATCTGTAGTATAGAGTCTGCATTACTCCTGGTCTGATCAATTAATGCAAATTCAAGGACATTTTGATAAGAATTCAAGGACTTTTCAAGGGCAATTAATTACCAAAAAAGTCAAATTCAAGTTAAATTCAAGAAAATGTCAATTCAAGGACCTATGTGCACCCAGCAAGAAATTTTTAACAAAAATTCAGAGTAAAAACTGAGGTTTTTATAGAAAAATCTCTCCAAGGTCATGCTTTCTCACACCCAATAGATTGAATACTCTGACATTTTGATCATTCATTTATTAGACTATTACTTCCATGGGTTGAATGGAATAAGTTGTATGTCTCAAGGCTAATGGCAGCCTGTTTGTAAATAATATGCTCACTATCTTTATTACTTATTTTGTTATTAGCAAAGGATGTCCACCTCAATTTCTTCTTCACATTCTGATAAAGATGGTTTTCTACTAACTGATAGCACCTGAGAAAATAAAGAGAGTACAATTTTAGTGTAGGATAATACCAGACAGCCTCGTAAAGGCTGGCCACAAAGTATTCAAGAGTGCAATACGCTCTCCTCCCACCACTGGGGTCTCAGGTTTGATTCCTGGACTCTGCGACAAGTGAGCAGAGTTTGGTTAGGTCTCTCCAAAGTTTTTCTCTTGGTTCTCTAGATTTGGTTTTGCTCTCTCTAGCAAAAACTAACATTCTAGATGTTAGGAAGACCTCACATCCGTCTACTCACATCTGAGAATCAAAACTGGGAATCTAACTCGGGTTCACAATGACTAGGGGAAAGCCATCTCATGGCTGTGCAGCATCCTTGTATATTATTAACTCACCTCTTCTCTATCAAACAGGCCACTTCTTTTCTCTTTTTCCATTTGCCGGTGGATTCTAGACAGCAGTCCTTTGCTCTTCCTGGACTTTTTAGACACTCGCTTTGTACTTAATGGTTTTTGTGTTTTTCTCTGAAATCAAAATATAAAAATTGTTAATACTAATTATCTGTTATTTTTACTTTCACTTAATTAGCAATTAACTCACCTTTGATGAAAATTTCTGTTGTGGAGATGAGGTTGTTTTGTATTGACATCTCTTTTTTCTTGATTCTACACAAAAACAACACAACACAAATGTTTATTCTTAAGTCACCTCCCTATGCATCATCATCATCCATCCCTGTCATCATCACCACCACCACTATCATCATCATCATCACCCATCATCATCACCATCGATCATCACCATCATCATTATCATCATGTATCATTATCATCATGTATCATCATCACCACCATCATCACCATCATCATTATCATCATCAYCATGTATCATCGTTTCTTATCATCACGTATCATGATAATTAATCATTAATTAATCATTATAACCTACCTGAGCATTTCTTGCACTCGTCATCTAACAAATGTTCATTGATGTATTGTTTTAATCTTTGAAATTTGTCATCATTAAATGTTTCAAGATCTGAAACAAGAAGAACCCTTACATTATAATAATTATAGGTAATACAATAAGAGTTTTTTCTAGAACAAGATTAGCTTAAATGGACTAGATTAGGATGTAAAGAAACCCTGGCAGTGACCACCCTCAGTGCCTACACTTCATTGCATAAAAGCAATCTGTCATTCACAACTCCATGTAAAGCGCCTTTGATTATATTCACATAGAAAAGGCGCTATATAAATCATCATTAATTATCATTCACCCCAGCATGTCTGTTGTTCACATTCATAGTGACAATATTGCATTATTTTAATAGTAAAGTCTGCATTTTTGACATTGTTCTAAGAATGGATGGGAGAAAAAGCTACACAAAAATGCTTTTGATGCCTTTTTAGTAAGGCAAAAACAGAGTGTTTCCTAAACACAATSTGGACATGCCCTAAGAATGAGATGAGATGATATGGGTGGGGAAGAGCACTCTATTAGTGACACTGACAGACTGTCCTTGTTATTCTGCCTTAAAGAAATGATACTCTGATTGGTCCTAAAGGTCAGGGTATATGATATTCAACTACTTACCTATGAAGAATTCAGTATCTGTAGCTGATACAGTAGCCTCTGGGCTTATTATTCTAATAACATCTAGTTGCTCTCGTAAACCAAGCGTAGATGAAACAACTTTTGTGAGGTATTCTATTGATTCCATTTGATTACTTGATGACATTTTATTCCTACAGAAAAAAAGTTCAAAAAATGAAAAAACTGTTCAACAGTGGAATCTGTAGGGGATCAAGGGCAGTAGTGGACTCACCTCTCACCTCTGGGGTCTCASGTTTGATTCCTGGACTCAACATCACACGCATTAGTGAACAAAGGTGGTGTAGTGGTAGTGCACTCACCTCTCACCTCTGGGGTCTCAGGTTTGATTCCTGGACTCAACATCACACACATTAGT